TGGTGTAAACCATACACCTGAATTATGAATTTTTCTCAAAAAAGAAAAGAAGAAGAAGATAGAAGATGAACCAGGAACCTGTCGACGGTCCGACGAATCCCAGCACACTCGACCGCCCCCCCGATCGGGTGCTGGGCCCGTCCCTGACTCTACCAACTATTATATGTTGAGATATTTTCCCTCATGTTAGGGTTTCCTTCCTCAAAAGCTTCATTTTCTTGTCCCAATTCTTATATTGTTTGTCGTTCCACATTGAATAAAAACTAGAAGTGGGAGAGAATTGAAAACAATATAAGAGAGTCCGTAGTCATAGAAAAAAATTGTACAAAACAATTGTTGAACTCAAGAAAAGGAGAGAACGAGAGACAATAGGAAAGGGATTTTTTTTTCCATATTTTTTGAATTAGTTGGTGTATTGAGGCTTCTTGTACTCTGGCTAACTTTTACATACAGTTTGCTTCGGAAATGTTGGGTGTCGCATCTAAGGAATTTTTCGAGATCTAAAATGCAAGTCAATAATAAAGTTGAAGCCACTCTCCAACCATAGTCCCAAGCATAGTTAATTGCATAAATAGCACCAGCAAGCTCAGCCTCGAACGTATAACAAATACACAGGACTAGAGAAACATTCCTTGACAAAGCCCGACTAGTATGAAAACATCACATCTAGCAATCTCCCGGACTCCCAAAAGCCAATCCATCTGTATTACCCTAAGCTACCCCACTTTAGGAGCATTCTATCTGTATTAACCTCAAGCCACTCCAGATGAAAAGTATGCCAGATGACCTCCTAAACTTGAGGAGCCCTAGTGGTTGGCCCGAGAAATGAAGTAGATGTAAGATCAACATGTCATCAATAAATCGACTTATAGTACCTGTATGCAAAGAATCTACATCCTAAATGGATCGCAGAAGGACTACTAATCCCACGACAAAAAGTTGGTCCACTTCCTCAAAGATTGTACAACTTCGTAGAATTCAAACAACCTAGAAGGCGAAAAAATGGAATCTCTTCAAAGAGTGCATACTTGAAAATTGAAGGAATCCTACATTGCAACTCGCCAAAGTTCAAGAACATTACTATTAACTTAGATGCGAAGTCCAAATGCAGATAATAAGACACCTCATAAGCCCAAAATAAAGAGGTATAACATAAACAAATGTTTCGATGTCTTAGATTTGCTTACCTCAACTCACTAGAGCCCAACCTCAGACATAGGCATAAGCATTTTGCACAACTCACTATCCCATCTAGGGGGCATGGCTAAACAAGGAGATCAGGATCCTTGATGAACACCACTCCCTCAATGTTTGCAGCAATGGTGGGCGTAAGATTGATTAAAAAGAGTAAGAACATCCCAATTCGTGTCAGAGTAAACATCATCAATATCAATAAGTGGCGAAAGATCCAATTATCCAACAAGAAGCGAACTTGAGAATGAGGATCAACTAACCATCTTGAATCATGTTCGTGTGAAACCCGCAAGCGTACGAGATCGTTGACGAGTAATATATTTGAGTGAGTTGAGAGTATTGTCTCACAAATAATAATTTTCAATTTCAGTTTACTAGTTGTGTATGAAATTCAAATTACGTAAATAAAAGAGATTTTGAATTTGTAATTATTTTAATTTAATCATAACCCTTGTTTGATTTTTTCTAAAATACATTTTTCTTTCTCTTCTTTTCAATCACACGTTCTTCAATAAAATAATATTATACATAAATTCAAAATTTTTCTTTATTTTTTAAGTACACATTTTCTATCAATTTAATATTCCAAATACATTATTAGAAAATAATGGGGCTCAAACAAGCTCTAAAAAAGCATTAAAATTAGGGTTTGTATTAAATTATTTATGATTGGATTGGAATTTGAATCCGCCTATTGCTATCTATTTCAATTCTTGATTTGTAATGTAGTTCTATTCATGCGTTCTTAACAATTAATAAAGTTATGATATATAATTTTCTTTTACAAATTCAATATATCATAATCATGATCCGAATCTATTCCTAACCCGAATTCGAATGATTAGAATGTATTAAATTTTAGATTATTTATATGATTGCACATACGATAAATATCATTCGCACATATGTTAATTTTGTCGCGTTCTAAATTTATTGTGAGTTTTTCAACACTACAAAAAGTAACTAATTATCTAATTGGTGATCAATCATTTAAATAATGCAATGTGTATGCAAAATTAATCGAAAAATACAATAAATAAATTAAATTACCAGTTTTGAATTAAAATAAACAAATAAATAATAGGGTTCATTTTCATCCAATACAAAAACGGATCTAGCCTAACATGCTTTTAAATAAATTACAAGAAAAAGGAAAAATCATCACTCGAGGTCATCAAAGAATGTAAGAAATCTTGTCCTTCAATTCCAAGGTTGAAATTTTCAAAATCTTGATGTAATTGTTGACGCACAACATGTACAACCCAATTCAAATGACCCAAGAAAAGAAATAGCCCAAGAGAAGAAGCTCATTTAGAGAAATCATGGTGAAAGCCCAACCAGAAATATCATTAAACATGATAAAAGCCTAAAAACAAAGGAGCGTCGTCCAAACCTGCAGAACGCCCAGATGTTGAGCGAATGAAGTATCCCATAATCGCCCAGAGCGGAAGATCAATTGTCGCCCAAAAATGCCGAGTCGCCCAGAATCCCTACAATGACTAAGGCTTGTTGTTATCTAAAGTCACGATCTAAGGCAGTTTGAGCACATCACAATTACGCCCCACGATTTGAGAGAGTTGATGGCAAGCAGTTATGAAGAGAACGTGGTGATAGGAGTTACACATGGTAGTTATTGGCCAGCCGGCCATGGTGAAAGAAATAGGTAGTTACAAGCAGTTTCTAAACGATTAAAACTGCCCAAACCGTATAAAAGAAAGAGGAAGACAACGAAGAGAAGCCCGACAAAATTCACTCTCAAACAGAGAACATGTAATTTACTTTTCTTAGATTAACTTTTAATTACTTCAATTCCCTTGTACTTGTGTGCTTGTGCCCCTTGGAGGCATCTTGTTCGTGTCCAAACTGTAATTTTCATATTCAATAAACACCCCTTTTTGGGACTTTGTTCCAAGAGGTTTGTCCCTTACACAATCGTCTGATCCCTTTTTAATTGTTAGCGAGTAAAACGCGCGAATTAGTAATTGATTTCAATTCCTTGCTAAAGTTTGATCTTCTTACTCAAAAGTAATGAATTGGCCTCTTGTTCTTGATGAATTTGATGATATTATTATATATGAAGAGACTATGAAAGGTTTTTTCAATATTCCTCACAAGTTTTGTATTTATAAGGGTCGACTAAGTTAAGAAATCATCCCAATGTTATTACCAATAAAATTTTAAATCAAAAAGGAAATTGGTTCATCAGCACAAAATCTGGCCACTACCGCGCCGGCGCAGGCATACTGAATTGCTCTCGGGTCAAGAAATTTGGTGTCTCGGGCGCGCCATGAATTGCCCTTGCGTGTGCCTGTTTGCGAGGTGTTTTCCATGAGCAGCTTTTGCTATTTTGGTCCTAACTTTATTTTCCTATACCTGATTGAGGTGATTTAAAATGTGTTGGAAATATAACTCGAAGTGATACAATTCTTTTAGAAATAGAAATTTTCCAATTCGAACATTTGTTACCCTAAAAATGGTTCTAAATTTGAGGTTGAAAATTCGGAGTAAAACATTTTCGGCTAAAAATTGATTTGCTAAAATACTTGAACTATATTTCACTCATTTGACATCTAATTGCATTCAATTAATCATATGTGACCTTCAACCATTGTTTTATGGTTCGAATCAACTATTGAATATTTACACTTGAGTCCTCAAAATTTGATTTTTTTTTCATTCCCTCGTTTTTCCTTCATTTCTTCCGATTCACCTAATTTTTCTCAAGTTTTACCTAACAAATAAAATTAACAATAAATTAAGCCATAAGTCATCAAGATTAATGACAATTAATCACATTCAACGATCCAAATAAGTGTATAAATCCAATAGCAAAGGAGAAAAAACGAACTTCAAGCCTGGTCACGCAGATGAATGCACGTACCATAACTTTGGATTATGCTCCTTATTAAAATTATGAGCTCCGAGATAGTTGAAAACTTTGGAACTTTCTATCCTCAGTTTCCAAGTGAACTTTTTTGGCATTTCCCTATTCAAAACAGATATCTCGAAAGCCAAGACCAACCTCTTCTTCTTCTTCTTCTTCTTCTTCTTTTTTTTTAATAAGAACTCTAATATCGAGTGAACATGTCCAAAAGAAAGTTTCTAATGATAGTCCATAGAATCGCCTCTTAGTAGATACTCGAACTCATAGATGAAATCTATGATTCTGGACTCGGAAATGGCACAATCAAATTATAATGTTCCAATTTAATGGAAACTCAGAACTAGATCAAACTCAATTCAAAAGATCAAAGAACGTGAATTTTATTTACGATTTTTTATTTTTTCGTCATTAGCCTTTACAAAATATTGCTAATTTCTTCATTTTTTTTAACACGGGACATCCATCATTTCACTTAACTGTAAATTACATCCATCGATTCAGTCTAACCATACAAAATGACGAATTTATCCCATCTTTAGATAAATACAAAAATAAAATAAAAATTACAGTAAGACTCCTAAATCTTTCAAAATTAACAAATAAATCATCTTCCCCGAAGATTAAAAAGGCAAAAAATAATAAAAAATCTACCCACAAAGTTTACCAAGCTTAGGAATAACCAACCTTTTTGGACCGCCTCCGATGTAGAAAATTGTCGTTTTTGTCCAAAATATGTGGCACCAAATTCTTTTCCCCTCCTTTTTCCCTTCCATTTTCCTCTCCTCTCTTTCATAAAATTGTCGTTTTGTCCAAAATATGTGGCACCAAACTCATATCCCCTCCTATTACCTTTCCATTATCCTCACCTCTCTTTCATCAAGAAAGATTCAATTCATTCTCAGATTCTCCTCTTTCCATAACCATGCCTGAAACCTCTGCCCTATGCTTTTCCACCTTCTCCTCAGTTCCCCTCCCCAAGGAACCCATTTCCTGTCCCTCCACTTCTTTCCCTCACCGTAGATTTCCTCTGCATCGCCCTCAATACCGTTCCCTCCGATTTATTGCTAAAGCCTCCGGTTCAGGTCATTTTCTTGGTGATGGAGATGTTTTTGGGTTCTTTCCCTGGGAGTCTCCCGATGCTGGAGACTCTTGTATGTTTTTCAATTTCCCCCTATTTTTTTGTTTCTTGGGCATGGTTGATTATTTTTATGTTCAATTCGTTGTTTCTATGTTTTGAGGATTGAAATTTGGGTGGCAGAATTGATATTATATTTTATTGCATTCGAATATTATGTATGATAAGTCCATTTTCTAATGATTCGCAAGGGGAAATTTCTGTGGTTTGGATATAACCGAGCAGGTCAATATAGAGCTTATTTATTTACTTTATGTTGATTATGTTAGTCTCTAAGGTTTCTAGTTCAACTATGTTACTTTCTTGGTAGTTTTATGAATATTGCAGAATGATTTTGTATTTGTATATCTTTTGGTTTCTTCCATTTTCAGCTATACAGTGGGTTCCAGAGGAGAGGGTCACATTGTTTACTGCTGATGGTTTGATTCAAATTGGAGGGAACCTTGTCCCACGGCGTATTTCTTCTTCTGATGTATGTTCTTTCTGCAAGACACACCTATAATTTGCATAATACTATTTAGCACCAATGGTGTCACAGCATCAGTCTAGCTGTTAACATGTGATAAGTCGTAGTAAATGAATCATAAATTCTTATATTTAATTGAAAACGTAATTTAATGACACAAGTAATGTCATCGGTGTTAAACAATGATGAATAGTATTACTCTATAATTTTGGATTATATAAACGGTTGGGATTATGATTACTTAAATGTTAAATCATATATAATGAAAACCGTTTACTGAAAATTCAAATTTTGGCAGATATTCTTAGTGTAATAAGATTCGTTGTGCTAAGTAAGTAGATATTTAAAAAATTTTCGATTTATCAGATTATAAATGTAAAACCACATATAGTTTTGGTTATAAGCAAATGATCTTTGATGTTTCCAATCATTGGAAAATTAGCCAATGGTCAAATGTTTTTCTGCATTACCATTTATGATATTCCAGATCAAAACAGCTAGCTTTTAGTGGTGCTTTCTGGTGCATTACATCATAAGCATAATTTACGACATGTTTTATTTGCTTATCACAAAAAAGAGCTATAAAACATAAGCGTGACAGTACGATCATTGCAAAACACAATGTGCTCCATGTTTTGCCTCTGCCATTTTATGATTATCTTCCTTTTTGCATATGGCAACACCAAAACACGTAAAAAGAAATAATAGCATATTGGCATAAGGAATTTAAATGTATGTTTCTTACTTTATCTTTACGCTACCCTTCATCTCTTAACGAATAAAAATTTTTAGTTAACTCTTTATGTAGTTTTACCATGCAGAAAAAGCAAGGGAAGGTTAAAATTTCACAAAGATTTCAACGGTTTCAGGAAAGTAATTACATGGATCCAAGTCAAGGTCTATGTTTGGGTGCACTCTTTGACATCGCAGCAACAAATGTAAAAATATCTTATATGTTTTTAAGGATAAATCTTTGGCATTTCAATCATTTATGACATGTGAAGGAATTGGTCTGTGCCAGGGACTTGATATGGGCAGAAGACTTTGTATCTTCGGCTTCTGTCGCTCCGTTGAGATGCTCAGTGATGTTGTGGAAGATACTGTTCTGGAGCACGGTGGGGAGGTATATTCTAGCATCTATCTTTTAGAATTTCTTTGGGAAGAATGTGCATTGTAGCAGATTGGAACCTTGGTTACTGGCTCAGGTCTTTTTGACTAAGAGTAGGAGTTAGGCCTTCAGCATCTTATCACTCAATGGCAAAAAATATTCATATTTCTTCCCAATCCTCTGTTTTATATTATTAGACAAAAGTTTTCATAAACTATTATTGTATTTCTTTCCTCAGAGGAACTTTTATAGTTTGGCTTCTTGTTTCTATAAATCTTGCAGCTAATTGGTATAAACCAAGGCTAACGACTATTAAATCATGTTTGGGAAGTGTTTATAAACTATTCAAATTATAAGTAGATAAAAATAAGTAGTGGACAAGTTGTTAGTACTTGCGGGCCCCTTTAAATGTGTGGATAAAAAGTGGCTTGATTGCTTATAAACTATTTTTTTTGGTTTGGCTATGGGAGATGAGCTTTTAGTATTCTGAAAAATTAGCCAACTCTAATACTGCAGCTGGTATCCTCTTGATGCGTTACACTATCTAGAAACAGAGAAGAGAAGAAGAGAGGAATGAGAGAGATGGGAGGGAGAGAATTTGGAGAAGGAAAGTTACCAGACACTGAAAACGGATAATTTCCTAATTTTGAACACAATAACTATGAGAAGGAAATAGATAAACTTGGTAAATCTTAACATCTATTTGGATATCTATCGCATCTTTTTCTTCTCTTTAAGGTTTGCTTACAAGAATGACAGTTTGGAAGACTGTTATTATGTTTGGGGGTCAATTTAATAATCAATGCAATCTTCCAAGGGCTTATGGCTAAATGGTGTTGCACATGATGAAATGCCAAGGAAAAACTAAATTTACTCCCTGCATGTTACGAGGGTTGTTGGTCTTTGTTATCTACATTTCTTCTATAATGACCTGTGCTGATGGGGGTAACTTACTCGATTGCTGGATTATGCTGTTCAGGCGGTATGTGCCATGTGCTTTTTTGAGCTATTTACTGATCCACTACTATTGTTGAACCTGCATGGCGGTATGGTAATTTTATTTATTGGTTGGATAAGAGATCAGTTCAGACAAGAACTGTGGAAAGTTAGACAGATTCAAGTTTGAGATTGCACCGGTTTTTATAATGATGTCCATTGGTCAGCTATATACTTGTATTCAACTCATAATGATAAACTATACCTTTAACATCTGGGCTGGTTCAAAATTCAGGTTGTGGCTGCAGAGAAAGCAACTAAGGGCGGGTTGCATGAAAAGCTAACCATGACAGTAGCAGTGCCATTGCTTTGGGGAGTTCCTCCAGCTTCTGAGACTCTTCACCTTGCTGTTCGGAGCGGTGGAGGGATAGTAGACAAGGTCTACTGGCAATGGGACTTCCTGTAAATAATTACTAAGCTTTTCTAACCATTTGTTTGTGCATTTGTAAATATCTGTCAGCTACTTCGTACAAATTCTGGGGAAGTATTTAACTGTGAAACTTGATGTTAATATCATCCCATCATTATTTTTAGAGTAATGCTATTTATCATGATGATGATGGAATATCAATGATGTGGTAACTCATTATCTCTCACATTTATTTCTCTCTCCTCCCTCCTCTCATAAAAATTAAACTATTCAATCCAGTTACTTCATATAAAATGTCACATTATCGATGTTCTATCATTATAATGATAAGTAGTATTATTCTCATTTTTATTTTGTATATGGAATCTTAAGTTTCTCGTTACTCTTGAGAAGAATTAATCTCCACTGGAAAAGATATTCCTAGATAAGTTTTTCCTAAGTGCTCTGAGATTTGTAATAATCATAAGTAATTAAAAAAAGAAAATTGTTGCAACTGGCGGCCATTAATTTATTATTATTACATAACAATGCACACAAGTTAGTAAACTTTTCATTTTCTCTGTCTTCTTCTTTGAAGACACTAAATTATATTAATCTTGTCAAAACATTAGAGCAAATCAAACTAGCCAATAATCAACTAAGCCATCACATACTGAGGTCATAATATCTTGGATCCTTTTGGGATGCCACCCAAGAGAATCTCTCCATGTTGGGTTTTGATATTTTTTTTTTCCTGCAATTTCTAGTGAAGACAATTAGAAAATACCTACATTGTACCTGAAATCCAAGGTTCTAACCTTGTTCTGATGTTGTGATTGTACAATTAAGAAATTGGAAAACTAATTATTCCCCCATAAATATAAATATTATTATCCAAAAAACTTAAATAAAATGAGACTTGAGTAGTTGAGACAAGAGACTCTTGTTGTGAACGGTGCATCACAATATATCAAAATTAACATGGCTGCATGACGTATGTGTTAAGAACATAGAAATAATGAATCTCACACGAAAATAATTTATAATAAAGTTTCAAATCTGGTTGGTGCTGAAATTATTAGTGTAATCCAACTGCTTCATCACTTCAATATTGTAGTCCAATGAATCTTCATAAACATATCCATTGACTGAATCCCCATTTTCAGTAAGCATCAACTTGACATATTCATCAATCCCACTGCTGAAATGGCTGGAGAATCCATGATCATACTGTACTACCTCTTGGCCATGGCTTATAATGTGGTTGGTAGTGCAACTACCATCAGATGAACTACAACTAGCTTCACCTGATCCAAAGATGATCAGGTGGCTGTCTTTAATCTGATTATTATGCATGGCACCCACACCCACATAGCCATCTTGAGCTTGGAGGTCTGTACTGGTGATACAGGTGCTTTCCAGGGGATATGTTGGGGTACTGGTCATGGTATCATAGCCCCTGATCGAACTAGCTGGATTACTGGTGTAATAATTGTTGTTGCTTGTTGAATATGGAGATTCTACTGATGAATTCTGATTAAGTGAATAGGATATAGCTAGGGGATGGTTTTTCTGCTGCATAGATGGCACCATCCCCATATGGAATTTCTTCTTGAGCTTAGTGTTCCAGTAGTTCTTGATATCATTATCAGTCCTGCCTGGTAACTGACCTGCTATAATTGACCACCTGCACTTTGAGTTTTGGATTGAAACGAAAATCGTTGTCGTCAGCTCGTGCTGTAATATATCGAGTGACGAGTCAAGTCCCGTTAAGAGCTTGGAAAATAAGGTAAAGAATGAGAATATTGGTGGATGATAATACCTGCTTCCAATACTAGCAAAAAGACTGCAAATTATTCTTTCTTCATCATCCGTGAATTCCCCATGCTTAATATTAGGTCTGAGATAGTTCAACCATCTCAATCTGCAGCTTTTTCCACATCTTCTGAGCCCTACTCATGCCAAAAATAACTAGTCATCTTATCTAAATGCTTAAACCGTTATAAGAGAGGGAACACAGTCACTTGTAGGCTGGATTCATTTTCTATAAAAAAACGTGAAGCAGACACAATTTTCATATAGGTAGCAGCAAGACTTGATCATCCAAAACGAGGAACTAAAACGAAACAACAATTTAAACAAGATGATCATCCAAAACGAGGGAGACAATTCCAAATGGAAATTCCCATACCAGCTTTTTGTGGGAGAGCTATCCAATTCCCTTCAGTACCATTCCTCTCCATGTATTCCTTCAGCTTCGAGTCTTCTTCGGGAGTCCATTGTCCTTTCTTTACATTTGCCCTGTCACAGCAAGGAGTTCTTCCCATCTCTCTCTCTCTAGACTTCTTTCAGAATACTATTTGATGATTGTGTAGTATTAATTTGTCTTCTTTTTATAGAAAGACTTCTACACAAGTCAAGTCAGAGTAATATTTCAATTGTCAATTCAGTGATTAGCTAAGGGAGTTTTCTACAATAAATCTACACCATATGCATCGGAATCAGTACACTAGATCTGCCCCGTTTTCTCATAAAGAATCCAAAAGACTTTTAGCCAATGAATGGCATATATTTCAAGACTGGCGAGCGTTGGTCGGTGTTTCATCTTTGTTGCCATCCCAAGTTTCTAGATGTTCAAACCTGTGTTGGTCACACGATGTTTCTATGACAGTAGAATCTTGATATGTTACGCATGCAAAGGCCCGTGTTTTATGTTTCAAACTACTTTTCTAGGTCGGAAGACAAAGTTTAAAGGTCTATTTGGTTGCAATGGTGAAAAATGGATGGAAAGAAAATGAATTTCAGGGAAAGTAATTGTCTAGAAATTATTTTGCAGGAAATTGTTAATTAAGTGTGTTTGATTTGTATAGTTTTTTGGGTGGAAAATTTTTAAATTTTGTGTTCGTTTGACTTAGTTTTACATGGAAATTATCCATTAAAGTGATTTTTTTTCCACAATTGGTTATAAAATTTGTTTCAATTGCCAAAAAGTAAAAAAAAAATGAAATTTTTTCTAAAAAAATTATTTTTTTATCAAAGTTTAGTATTCGTTTGGTTTTGTTTTACATGAAAATTGTCTATTAAAGTGAATTTTTTTTTATAACTAGTTATGAAATTTGTTTTCATTGCCAAAATTTTTTTAAAAAAAAGCCAATAGCCACCTAGAAAAACTTTCCCCTAAAAACAGGGAAAGAGGGTGCGTGGGTGTGGGAAATTTCTCCCATCAAACACTTTTTTTGCATGGAAATGGAAATTTTTTTCCATTTTCCAAGGAAAAAGTTGTGTGTCAAACATAACCTAAATGAATTCACCTAGTCTTTGTTTCATAAGGAGCGAAAACAGCAAAAAAATGAACAAAATCAAAGTTTGGGAACCAAATTGCACCATTGCAATATTTGAATCTGACTTATTATCCATGATTGGAAACCTCTTAGATTCAATTGGACGAAAATAGAGGCTGAAGGATCAAGATTGAAAGAAATTATCTCAAAGAACGGACTAAAATAACACTTGAAGAAAGCTGGAGACTAAATTGTAAAATTCTGAATCTTGGAAAAAGGTACGGACGCTGGGCACATTACTGCGTGTGTGCAGAGCTAAATTTCGAATTAGAATAAATCCTCGTGTATAGAAATGAGGTTCACAGGCGTTTTAGCCCTCTCACAGTGGTGTGCCCCACTGTAAGTAAAAGTTAAAAAAAATTACCCACTCCATGTGTGAGTGTATGTAAACCAAACCAAACCAAACCACCCGTCCCCCCTTACATGTAGCACCGTCCTTTGAATTACGGGGAGCAAATCATGGTGCTGACGCGAGGGCAATTTAACGTATGGATAATTCTATTTGTATTGAATATGGGTTACCGAAAATGTACCATCCTCTCACATGCGAGCGGGGACCGTGTGAATAAAAAAACTCTAAAATGTGTGATCCCCACACTCTATTGTGAATGTAGGTAAAATATTAGGTAAAAAAGTAGGTGTACGTGTAGCATAACCCTTAATATATGTCGCACACGAAATAAAAAAGGGATCTGACGCAATTCCTTTTCAAAATAGAATTTTAATTATATTTTAACTCTTTACACGTTTGGCTTAATTTTTTTATTCCTATAAATACGAAACTTGGCAAAAAGATTGGGGGACCTCTCTTGCCTATTCATACACAATAATATCATTAAATTCATAAAAATTAAGGAGCTAATTACTAGATTTTGAAAGAGATGATCAAACCCTAACAAGAAATTAATGGTCAATTACATCAAGATTTTGAAAAATTCAACCATAGACTTGAAGATCAACATCTTTTGAATTATTTCATGATTTGGGTGATATTTTTCTACTATTCTTCTTTTAATTTATATATTAATATGCTAGGTTAGATCCCTTTTTGTATTGGATGAAGATGAATCATATTGTTTATTTGTTTTAATTCAATATTGGCAGTTTAATTTTTTTTATGCGTTTTTTAGTTAATTTTGCATACTCATAACATTATTTAATTAATTGACGGAATTAGATAATTAGTTACTTGTTGTAGTATTGAGAGACTCAAAATAAGTTTAAAACGTGTCAAAATTAACATATGTGTAATACATGTTAGAAATAACATTTATCATGTGTGTAATTATATAAATAATTTAAACTATAATACATTCTAATCATTCGAATTCAAACTAGAAATAGATTCAGATCGTGATTAGGAATGATTTAATTTGTCTCGCAAAATAGAATTATATATCATAACTTTATTGAAATAGATAGCAATAAGCGAAATCTAATTTCAATACAATCATCTATAATTTGATAAAAAAAAAACATTTTTTTTTACATATTTCTTAGATTAGTTTAGGATATTCACAAAAATCAAATCAATTTTGTTTATATAATTCGAATTCCTTACAAAACTAGTAATTCTGAATTGAATTTATTCCCCATGAGACGATGCTCTCAACTCATTAATTCTGTCACTTATCAACGATCCCGTACGCTGGGTTCGCACAAACATGACTCTATTATGTACACAAGTAGCATTATTCCTCGGGAAATGCACATTGTTGGTGAGAGACTGAAAATGGCAGTTGTTCAAATGCACATTGTAACTGAAGTTGAATGCTTTTTGTCGGGATAAACGTTCATTATTGATTTGTGTATTTTATTTTATTTTTAAGAATGGTGTTAGTTGATTCTTCCACCATGTGTTATGAATTAGACAAGAAGCATAGACTGTTTAATTGCTGTAGGAATCTTGTTTGTTAAAATGCCACAAAGAGAATTTTAACTTACTTCGTTATTAGTTAGCTCTTTGTTAAGGCTTTGGTTTGAAATGCATTGTGTAAAAGACCTTGACTTTTGCATCCTCAATTGAGGATTTTATTTTGCTGGTTGCGTGTTGTTAGAGGTTGATTCAAGATCGATAAAAATGTCGCCTAACATGTCCATTATCTTGTTACAGCTTTCACGAATATTGTCCGAAACACACAAGTGCAAGTTTTATATGTTGTAGAGTAAGGAAGAAAAGAAAAGGGAATTCAAATTTTGTCTTTTGATTAAAAGACAAAAACCAGCGAGTTAATGCACTTCAATTCCCTGGGTGTGTAGCTTATTTGGTGGCAAGGAGGTGTTCCAGAACTACTATTTCTTGTTCTTGCACATTCTGACTTCTTGGAGCATGATCATTTGATGACACTAGAGTTTACTTCCAAGTCTGCAAAGTTTTACAAGAAATTGATCTATGAAAATTTTTAAATTTCATTTCTTCATCACTTCATATATAAGTGTTTAAACCTCAGTTATCTCATTTGCAGTGCTACTTGAGCCTGTGTGTGTTGATTTCTTCATGTTATGGTATCGTTTGTTTTGTCTTTTTTCTTCAAAAACTGTAAATGTCATGTAAACAATACCCTTTTCCTTTACTGCATGTTGAGATTGAGATTGAGATTGTTCATACAAGGACCCTTCCTTCTCTTCATTTGTTTCTTTACTTTAGTAGGCATGTACCATGGTGGGGGCAACAATGGAAGTAGTCTAGTTTCATGCTACAAAGCTTTGCCATTACGGGATTTATAACATGCTCATATACGCTAATATACATCTCAATTGAAAATCACGAAGGAAAACTTATCTAAGATGCAAGCAATAGTATGTAATACAGAATTTTTGATAAGTCCCGTATTTTGCACGTACACGTTCTTTTCTCCAAATCCACCACAAATTCTCTACGAGAACACTCAACCTAGTATTGATGTACCCAGAGGTGGAGTCAGACTTTTTGTATTATGGGATCAAAAATTAAACTACCCTCCATTCATAGGTCCGTGATTTACATCTATGAATTGGATACAAAACCTAGAGGGCATAGCTCAACAGGTGCTAAATGAAAAGCCTGGACTCATAGTTACTCGATCCTTCTC